CCAGGAGGCGGAGGTTGCGGTGAGCCGAGATCGCACCATTGCACTCCAGCCTGGGTAACATGAGTGAAACTCCGTCTCAAAAAAAAAAAAAAAGAATGTGTTCAATATTTTATATTATTTTATATTATGTTTTGAGAAAGATCTTTATTTGCTTTGTACAAGTAAAAATGACATGACACATTAACATATTATATATCAACATGATACATAATTCACAAAACACTGTCTGCCAAAAGTAATTTTACCAGTTTTTTTTTTTTAAAAAAAAACCTAAAAGTAGCTTTTTAATATGTATATTTTCTTCAAAGGAAGAAATTCCTTGCTTTTACTCAGGGGAAAAAATAAAATTAAGGTACATCTGATTTGATTCCATAGAGATAGAATCAAGAATGATTCCATCTATAAGGGTTCTTTTAGGAGACACCTGGGATTCACTGCATTGTTTTCATTTTCTTCTTTTTCCTCTTCTTTTCCAACACTTCTACCGTTTTTCTCTTCTTGGTTGATACCAGGCTACTCTCTTGTGTTGCTTTCTTACTGTCACCAGTTAAACCGCATTTCTTTGTGTTAGGTTTTGACTGCTTTTCTTCTTTGTGCACTGTGTCACCAGGCTCCTTTTTGCCGATTTTGGACTGTTCTTTACTTACTAAAACACAAAAGACAGTGCCTTTAAAGCTTGTTTTTCCCCCTTGAATGAAATAAACACAGGCTGCCAATAAAGTGAAATTATCTAGATTTCCTCCACTTCTACAATTTAAGAGATAACAGATTATTTATTTCAAAACAATCAAATTTGATTACCAGGAGAAAGCTCTGCTGCTGGAGGAAGGCTTGCTTTTGTGTCTGGCACTGTGTCTAACCACACTCCAAGACATGTCAGCCTGGCGTTAGTGTTTACTTCACAGAGTAAAGATGGGCGAACTTTCTAAATAGAAGAAACAAACATTCATAATGTGAATTTTCAATAATTTCTTTTTCCATAATTGTTACCTTAATTTAAAACTTCCTGTATTTTCTTGAGTACAAAATATGATATTCAGAAGCAATATATCATCTTCACTCATGGTTAGTTTGACTATGATATTCACAGAGCCAATTTCTGAAAAGTATTCAGAAATTGAAAATTCTGAAGAAAGGAATCAGGTCTTACTTCTAGGGCTGAACAAAGAACCTTGGAAAAAGAAACTTTCAACAAACCATATTCATAGAATGTGTTTATGAGAGAATAAAGAATAAACCAAGAGAAACTGTAAGAAGACTACAGGAGAAAATTTAATTTTCTAAACTGTCTGGTTCAAATGATTTGTTAATTCCATAACTGATCAGGAGCTTCCAAATTGTTTTTAGCAATGGCAGTATTTTTACCTCAGAGCTTCCAGAGAACTCCAATATACAAGAGAGGAAAGTAGAGCTTCTCTGATTAAAAAGAGCAGTGAGAATTCTGGGATCCTGCCAGCTCGGACTCAGAAATGACAACCATCAAGGCAGCTCCTTGGGAACCCTAACTTTAAAACCATTAATATCAATCATGTCTGGAGGAGATTTAAAAAGTTTATTTAAAGATCTATGTCTTATGACCCTTAAAAAAAATTCTACCTCACTTAAGAGCAAGACTTGTATTAAAGTGCATTTAGATTGTGTTAAGGAACTGACCTTATTTTGCTTAAGCTTCCACATTTTGATGAAACCGTCATTCGATGCTGTAACAATAACATGATGCTCTGGAATTTCAAAACTGAACATGGCTTTTACCCTAGGACAGAAATATTAATACCATAAAAGATCTTTTTCTTCAAGTAGTCTAATATTGTTATAAAATTACACACACAGACTAGTGCTTTCTCAGTGTTTCAAGTATTTACAAACTGCTCAATGAATGGTGCCTTAAAATATACCTATGCTTCACATTCCATTAGTGAATCATATTCAGGCCCAAAATACAAGGTAAAATCAACTGCCCACCATATCTGAAGGAAAAGTGGAAAAGACAATAGATAACTATAAATAATCAGGTTATTACAAAGGAACTAAAGATGAGTAAAACAAAGCCCTTCATCTCAAGAAATTCCAAGTTCAGTAAGGAGAGAAAACAAACAAACGATGAATCAGGGCCTCTCCCACACACCCATTTCCCTCCACTCCAAGCTGCCATCACTTTTATTCTGGATCACAGACGTAGCCTCATTGGCCCTTCTGCTTCTATTTTGCCCTTTAACAATTTTTAAAAATGTAAATCAAATCATGTAACTTCCAGGCTTAAAACTCTACAAAACTGGGGTCTACTTTAAAATAACATGGGAGAGGAAGTGGCTGGGCATATAGATGAAGCAAGACTGGCCACACAGTGACAGTTGCTAAAGCTGGTGGCGAGTCTTAAAAAGTTAGTACCACAAGTCCAGGCACGGTAGCTCACATCTGTAATCCCAGGACTTTGGGAGGCCGAGATGGGTGGATCACCTGAGGTCAGGAGTTCGAAACCAGCCTGGCTAACATGGTGACACCCCATCGCTATTAAAATAAATAAATTAATTTAAAAAGTTAGTACCATTAAAAAAAAAGAAGTTAGTACCATAAACCAGTCTAAATGCTTTTAAATTTTTCCATAGTAAGAAAAAATATGATTATAGGCACCATTTGGCTTCCACTACCCTTTCCTTGCTCACTGTCACCTAGTCACAAAGGTCTTCTATCTGCTCCTAAAATATACCAAGCTCTGTTCTCCCTCAGGTTCTTCGCACCTGTGGCTCTCTCTTCCTTTTTTCTTTTGAGATGGAGTCTCGTTCTGTTGCCCAGGCTGTAGTGCAGTGGTGTGATCTCAGTTCACTGCAACCTCCGCCTCCCAGGTTCAAGCAATTCTCCTGCCTCAGCCTCCCAAGTCGCTAAGATTACAGGCATATGCCACCACGCCCAGCTAATTTTGTATTTTTAGTAGAAATGGGGTTTTCGGGCCGGGCGCGGTGGCTCAAGCCTGTAATCCCAGCACTTTGGGAGGCCGAGGCGGGTGGATCACGAGGTCAAGAGATCGAGACCATCCCGGTCAACATGGTGAAACCCCGTCTCTCCTAAAACTACAAAAAATTAGCTGGGCATGGTGGTGCGTGCCTGTAATCCCAGCTACTCAGGAGGCTGAGGCAGGAGAATTGCCTGAACCCAGGAGGCAGAGGTTGCGGTGANCAGGAGGCAGAGGTTGCGGTGAGCCGAGATCGCGCCATTGCACTCCAGCCTGGGTAACAAGAGCGAAACTCCATCTCCAAAAAAAAAAAAAAAAAAAGAAATGGGGTTTTCTCCATGTTGGTCAGGCTGGTCTTGAACTCCCAACCTCAGGTGATCCGACTGTCTCGGCCTCCCAAAGTGCTGGGATTACAGGCGTGAGCCACGGTGCCTGGCCCTACTCTCTCCTATTTTTAAAACTAGCTCCTTTCTCATTCGTAAGGTCTCACATCTCCTTCCCTCATCATCATATCTAAACCAATTACCCTTATTCCTTAATCACTCTACTTTTCTATTTCCATTCTGTCATAATGATCTGCTTACTTTATAATCTACTGTCTCGCTACAATAGAAGAGCCATGACAGCACAAGCTCTTGTCTTTTCTGTTCATTATTAAATACCTCGTGTAGTATTTCATAATGATGATCAATGAATACTTGACTGAATGAATGGCCAAATATCTTAAGTGTTACCAGTACATCTGGAATGGGCGACCTTGAAGAATATGTTTACTTCCCAATATAGGGAAAGAGTAAGGCCTTTATTTTAGTGACTGCAGTACTCTAAGTACAGGTTTCTTAAAACTTAACCACTGTTTAATAAATAAGAACTAAGATTCATTTGAGACATAGAACATGCAAATGAAACACATCAAAATATAACTCTGTACATTAGATCACCTTTTTCAAAATTCCTGGAAAAAGCAGGGATCTAAGAATCAGATAAAACTGGGTTCAGCTCTCAGCTCCATTACCTAAGAGTGGGGTAATCTTAGCCAAGCCACTTAACTACTTACTTTGAGATTATCTACCCCCTAGAAATACAGTAAGCATTAAAAGGTAATAAAGACTGGCACAAAACTGGAACTCAATAACAATTCACTTCTCCTGCAGGGAAAAAAAAATCACTCGTAAAGAGGGAAGAAGTAGGCAAGGGGAATTACGTAAAAGGACAAAAGTAGTTGGGAACAAAGCTCAAGATTGTTTAGTTTTTTGTTTGTTCAAATATGCTTGATTTCAGGCTCCAAATCTAACAGGCATTTAAAAAAACTATCTTGTGCAAATGACTAGTCCCAAAAACAATTTCACTGATTTTGCATTTTTTTTTTTTTTTTTTTTTTTTACCCCTGGCTGATGGAAGATGACATCTTGGAAGAGAACCTCCTGCAGTGTGATCTCTGCTAATGCTCTGTCCCTTGGCTTTTTTTTGAGAGGGAGTCTCACACTGTAGCCAGGCTGGAGTGTAGTGGTGCAATCTTGGCTCGCTGCAACCTCTGCCTCCTGGGTTCAAGCAATTCTCCTGCCTCAGCTTTCCCGAGTAGCTGGGACTACAGGTGCATACTACCAGCCCCAGCTAATTTTTGTATTTTTAGTAGAGATGGGGTTTCACCATGTTGGCCAGGATGATCTTGATCTCTTGACGTCGTGATCCACCCACTGTGGTCTCCCAAAGTGCTGGGATTACAGACATGAGTCACTATGCCCAGCCCACTTTTGCATTATTAAAGGCCATGAAGATAACATTTTCCACCATTTTATTAGACTCCAGATACCATATACTGTCCACATAGGTATGTCTGATTATTTCTGCAGTTAATAAAAACATATACCCTGGTTTAAGAAACTACTGCATACATACCATTTATTAAGACTCAACATATACACCTGAGATTGGTAAAATTACCTGTTTTCATGAGCTTTAAATTCACAGAGGCACACTAGCGAATCACAGTCAAAAAACCTTATAACTTCTTCATCTCCAGCCACTGCAAGGACAGACTCCTAGGAGACAGAAAAAATAATAATATGCAGAATGTCATCAACAGTTCCAACCATCACCACAAACTTCGGTCACTGATTTCTGATTACTTACTGAAAGAAATTTAACAGCAGAAATTCTCTTTTCATTTGTGATGGTGCCACTAATGGATGCAGTGTCAAGCTGATAGATGTCTATTTTATTCTGTATGATAACTACATATTGCTCTCCTCTTGGGGACCATTCCACTATGTGAGCATCTATAAGTAAAAAAAATAAAGTTTATTTATTATTTTTTATTTAAATTTTTTATTTTTTAATTTTTTTTAGTAGAGATGGGGTTTCACCATGTTGGCCAAGATGGTCTAGATCTCCTGACCTCGTAATCTACCCACCTCAGCCTCCCAAAGTGCTGGGATTATAGGCATGAGCCACCATGTCCGGCCTATTTATTATTTTATAAATAAAACATAAAATGATCATAGTAATAAAAATAGCAAATATTTATAATGTGCATTTTCAAATCCATTATCCCATCTGCTCTTCATAACACATTTTACAAGTTCAATTTTTTAGACAATAATCTAGGTTCAAAAACTCAAGGGTGGGCCAGGTGCAGTAGCTCACACCTGTAATCCCAGCATTTTGGGAGGCCAAGGTGGGTGGATCACTTAAGGCCAGAAGTTTGAGATGGCATTTTGCTCTTGTCGCCCAGGCTGGAGTGCAATCACCTGACAGGGCCCGAAGTTCGAGACAGAAGGTGACAGAGATGGAGTATCGCTCTGTCACCCAGGCTGAAGTGCAGTGGCATAATCTCAGCTCACTCCAACCTCTGCCTCCTGGGTTCAAGTGATTCTCCTGCCTCAGCCTCCCAAGTAGCTGGGATTACAGGTGCATGCCACTATGCTTGGCTAATTTTTTGTAGTTTTTGTAGAGATGGGGTTTCATCATGTTGGCCAGACTGGTCTCGAACTTCTGACCCTGTCAGGTGATTCACCCGCCTCAGCCTCCTGAAGTGCTGGGATTATAGGCATGAGCCACGGCGCCCGGCGTGGGTGTTGAATTTTCTACTTGAGGCATCACATCAATGTTCAAAAAGTTTCAGATTTTTGAAGCATTTCAGATTTCCAGATTAGGAATGTTCAACCTGTATTTCAAACAAAAATACTCACTTTGTTTTATATTTTTTATGAATGCTGATCTTCCTTCTATAAGATTCCACGTTCTGCAAAACAGGAAGCTCACTTATGGTGTGATCACCAACGTTTACGAAGCGTAAAAGTACAAGCATAATGACAACTTACTCAAGTGCCAATTTTACTAAATATTGGCTATTTAAAAGACCTGCTATCTTCCTTACAGCAACATCTTGAAATATTATCAGGCAGGATTAAGGCTTGCTCCATTCCCATATTCCTTTAGCATGTTGTTACCATTGTATTTTCCAAAGGCTTCCCTTCCTAAAATCTTCACAGCTATGATGACTAGAACAAAATTACATGCTTGAATATAGAGCTTATCATCTTTATCCTACCATTATGAAAAGGTTCACTAGCTTTTGACCTTTCCCTTGTTTCACAGTATTTTTTTTTTTTTGAGACAGAGCCTCGCTGTGTTGAGCAGGCTGGAATGCAGTGGTGCGCTGGGCTCACTGCAACCTCAGCCTCCGCCTCCCAGGTTCAAGCAATTCTCTGCCTCAGACTCCCGAGTAGCTGGGATTACAGGCGCTGCCACCATGCCTGGCTAATTTCTTTATTTTTAGTAGAGACGGGATTTCACCATATTGGCCAGGCTGGTCTTGAACTCCTGAACTCATGATCCACTCGCCTCTGCCTCCCTAAGCACTGAGATTATAGGCATGAGCCACCATGTTTTCCTACAGCTCTCCACCATTTAAAAACACTGTGAAACAGGCAGGGCGTTTCACAGTATTTTTAAATGGTGGAGAGCTGTAGTAAAAGATATACCTTAGAATAATGCTCTTGAGCATTAATGACTTACCTTAATGTCTTATCTGTACCAACCGACAGGGCCAACTTGCCAGATGGGTGAATAGAAACGAAGGTCACATGTCCTCTAAAATGAAACCAATAGTTAGTCCCCAACTTGACTGGCACATGGAGAATGCCAAAGGGAAGAGCCCAACTCACTTGTGAGCTTTAATTGACTTCAGGCATTCCCATTTCTTGGCATCCCAGATACAGATAAGTCCATCTTCCGCTCCACTGATTAAATGCCTGTTGCCATAGAATTTCAGGCAAGTTATTGTGCCTGTGGAAAAACCAAAACAGGCAAAAATAATATTCATTTTAAATGCAAATTCCATTTCTGGTTTGAAGGCTATGGTATGCTAAGTAAAACACTCAATGCCTTTTTTTTTTTCCTCTTGAGGCAGGGTTTTACTCTGTTACCCAGGCTGGAGCGCTATGGCACAATCTTAGCCCACTGCAGCCTCTCTTCCTAGGTTCAAGTGATCTTCCCACCTCAGCCTTCTGAGTAGCTGGGACTACAGGTGCACACCAATACACCTAGCTAACTTTTGTATTTTTTGTAGGTGCAGAGTTTCACCATGTTGTCCAGGCTGCTCTTGAACTCCTGGGCCCAAGAGATCTGCCCACCTCAGCCTCCCAAAGTGCTGGAATTACAGGTGTGAGCCACTGTGCCTGGCCTCAGTGTCTTAATATTACTAAAATATACCTTAAATTTTTTCATATATGTACAACTGCTAAAATCTATGCAAATATTTTCAGCAGAGTATCTCCAATTTAGATATATTTTTGAACGAATCAGTTCACATCCTTGTTTTACCTCTTCAAATTACAAATTTAGGAATTGGCTGGCTAGGATAATTTGAGCAGAAGTAAACAAAAGTAACTGGCTAACAAGCTCATCTGGGGAACAAACCAGGTGTACTGCCACATGACTTCCACTTTCTAAAGAGTGAACTAGCCACCCAATCAGCCATGATCAAGTCATTATCACTCTGACCTGTTTTGATCCATTTCTAAACACTTCTCATTCATTTGTTCATATTTTCCTCTCCCTATTATCCTATTTCTCACTTTGGAAAGTTTACTTTCCTACATCTGCTAACCTAGAAAAAAGTTTATCTATTACCAACACTGAGAAAAATAGGATTTATGCAGCCATAAAAAGGAATGTGACCATGTGCTCTGCAGGGATGTGGATGAAGTTTGAAGCCATTATCCTCAGCAAACTAATGCAGGAAGAGAAAACCAAACACTGGCCAGGTGTGGTGGCTCATGCCTGTAATCTCAGCACTTTGGGAGACCAGTGCGGGCAGATTGTCTGAGGTAAGGGGTTCAAGATCAGCCTGGCCAACATGGTGAAACCCCATCTCTACTGAAAATACAAAGATTAGCTGGACGTGGTGGTGTGTGCTTATACTTATACTCTCAGCTACTCAGGAGGCTGAGGCACAAGAATCGCTTGAACCTGGGAAGTGGAGGCTGCAGTGAGCTGAGATCCTGCCATTGCACTCCAGCCTGGGTGCCAGAGCAAAACTCCCTCTCAAAAAAGAAAGAAAAGAAACAAAACAAGAGAAAAAAAAAAGAAAGACCAAATACCACATGTTCTCACTCATAAGTCGGAGCTGAATCATGAGAATACATGGACACATAGGGGAGAACAACACACACTGGGGCCTGAGGGAGGGGAAGATGTGGGGAGAGAGAACATTAGAACAGCTAACGAATGCCTGGCTTAATGCCTAGGTGATGGGATGATCTGTGCAGCAAACCACTAAGGCACATTTACTTCTGTAATAAACCTGAACATCCTTCATGTGTACCCCTGAACTTAAAATAAGAGTTGAAGGAAAAAAAAGAATTTTTAAAAAGAGAAGGAAAAAAAAGGATTTATACAAGGAATGGAGGGAAACCAAGAAACCAAGAACCCTATTTCATTTACCCCTCAAGTCTAAACTCCTTCTATGTAATTCCTTTTCTTATTGTTGAACTCTTGTACTAATGGGTATGGGCAGATCAAATTAAACTTATTTCTTCCAAACCTGAGAGAGAAGGCTTCTTTGTATGAAGTGGATGTGGGAAAAAGAGAAAAAAAGAATGTATATTTAAAACACTCAAAGCACAGTCGATGAAGGGTAAGACAGCTGTTAAAGCACTTATGGACAGTCTGCCATGGTGTGAACGTGTCCCCCAAAATTCATTTGCTGAAACTTAGTTGCCAATGTGATAGTGTAAGAGGTGGGACCTTTAGGTGAGGATGACTCATGAGCAAGATTATTGACCTTATAAAAGGTTTTTTTGGCCAAGCAAGGTGGCTCACGCCTGTAATCCCAGCACTTTGGGAGGCCAAGGTGGGCAGATAAATTGAGGTCAGGGGTTCAAGACCAGCCTGGCCAATATGGTAAAACCCCGTCTCTACTAAAAATACAAAAATCAGCTGGGCATGGTGGTGCGTGCCTGTAATCCAAGCTACTAGGGAGGCTGAAGCAGGAGAATCACTTAAACCCAGGAGGTGGAAGTTGCAGCAAGCTGAGATCACTCCACTGCGTTTCAGCCTGGGCAACAGAGCTACCGCTTATTTAAAAAAAAAAAAAAAAAAAAAAAAAAAAAACTTTTTTTGTTTGTTTGTTTGCTTTTTTTAAACTGGCTCCAACTCTCAAGCTGGACCTTACAGAATTGTATAGGGAGCTGCTTTGCCCTTCTACCATATGAAGACACAGCAACAGACAGCCTATCCTTAGCAGATATGAAAATCTCCTGGTGCTTTAATCTTAGACTTCCCAGCCTCTAGCACTGTGAGAAATAAATCTCTATTATATAGAAATTACTCAGTCTAAGGTATTTTGTTATAGCAGTCTGAATAAACTAAGAGAACATCTAACAGAAGGAAGCCATTTCTGGCTGCATATTTACTGCTGGAAACCAATGCCTGGTGTGGATCCTCTGAAATACAAGAAAGATTGGATAGGAAAAAAGGCACCTATTTTATCTGCCTTTCCAGAAAACCAACTTTCTTAGCTAAGTTACTCCCCATTCTCTGTCCCCTGGGAAAATGCAATAAAAACAGCATAAAATGTTTGGTACTGAAGAAAAAAATTTACCCATTCAGTCTTTCTCTCCCTTGATTCTGCCACTATCCTGGGTACCTTGACCACCAGTGTGGAAAACCCAACAAGGCGGGAATTACTACTCCTTGACTTCGACTCCAGTGATCTCTGCCTCCTCTGTATGTTAGTCCCCCCCACCCACAGCCTGGGCATTGTTACCACGTAGAGCTGTTCCACGTTAGAAATCTTGACCTCTGGGAACCTATTTGCTGCCCACAAGCTCACATCTTCCCATCCCTTTCACGCCTTCCTGCACTCACACTCCACCTGCTTTTGTATTTCAGAGATCTCCAGGCCCTTGACAACAGATTTTCTCTATGCTGACAACCTAATCTACTCCTTCACCAAAATTCTTAATTCCCTTGTAACTCAATCCTCCTACTGCACATACCAAGTAACCTTCCTCTCTCTAGGGAAATGTCTGGGGCTTACTACTGAAGAAACTCAGAAAACCTCGCAAACTGATGTTGCTCGATCCACAGCTGCCAACTCCAATGGGGCAGGCCTTCATCAGTCCTTCTATTTGGGTTCTCAGCAGCCCTCCCATATCAAACTGGCAGTACTTTCCTCAAGCCCACATCACTCATTAGCTTGCTTGCTCCCTCCCTCCCATTCAGCCTCTACCTGCCTTCTCTCAAGGTCTCCAGGATCTGGTCTCATCTACTTCTGTAGCCCCTCATACTCCAATTTAACCTTCTCATAATCTGGAACAGCTTACAGCTCCCCAGGCACACCAGCCGACAAAAGCATGGGCTTTAGACCTAGGTTCAAGTTCTAGTTCCACTGTTTTGAGACCTTGGGCAAGTCAAGTAACATCTTTGAAACTAGGTGTTCTCTTCTATGAACTAAAGATAAAACTACTTTCTTGGCACACTGAGGGGCACACGATATGCCCTCAATAAAGTGAGATATTGCTGTGATGCTACTACTTGTGCTCCTCATACTGCCGGCTCCGCCTGCAATGTCCTTTCTCCCTCCTTGCAAACTTTACCTGCCTAACAACTGACATTTCTCTTTTAAGATAATTCAGATGAGAAGAGAGAGAGAAAAAAAAGATAATTCAGATTCATTTTAAGAAAGGTTTCAGTGAAACCTCACTCTGACTCCCTTACTCCCTGAGTTAAGTTCCTCCTTTCTGTCTTCCAATAAGAACCGTGAGACAACCCAGAGCAAGAAACCATTCCCCCCACCCGAGACAGAGTCTCACTCTGTTGCCCAGGTTGGAGTGCAGTGGCGTAATCTCAGCTTACCGCAACGTCTGCCTCCCGGGTTCAAATGATTTCCCTGCCTCAGCCTCCCGAGTAGCTGGGACCACAGGTAGGTGCCACCACACCTGGCTAATTTTTTTGTATTTTAGTAGAGATGGGTCTGGTCTTAAGCTCCTGACCTCAGGTGATCCATCTGCCTCAGCTTCCCAAAGTGCTGGGATTACAGACGTGAGCCACTGCGCCAAGCTAAGAAACCATTTTTTTAAAAATTCCTCTATCTTCTACCACAGAATCTGCTACAAAATAGATACAACAAATTGCTCAACTAAAGTCAAATTTTAAAGAACACCTCCATGTTCTTATCTTAAGGGATACAATTTTCTTACCACTGTGATGCACTAGAGCCCCATGCTCTATCTTCTTTTTCATGTCATAAATGTGAATTGTTTCATCTTTGCTCCCAGTGACCACAAAACGACTATTTACAGCTACTGCTGACAAGGAGGCAGTGTGAGCATGGTGAGTGAAGTCAGCCACAGGAGTCCATTGCTGCTGAAGATGAAAACATACAATTAATGCCACAGTCACACCACAGTTTTACCAACTATCCACTGGTAGTTTTCATGAATCATGGAACCATTTATCGGTTACTGAAAAGATAAATCGTTCCGCAATTCATGAAAATTATCAATGGATCCTACAAATGGAAAAATGACATGTAAAACTACAAAATGACCTGCAGTTTAACACAAAGGACTTGAGACTTCATAAGGAAGGTAAAGCAAGGAGGTGGGAAAGCAACACTGGGAATCACCACTCTAGAACACAGTAATAGAGACTGGACAAGAGAAGACTTTTAGATTCTACGTAAATCTTTTTTTTTTTTTTTTTGAGATGAAGTCTTGCTCTGTCACCCAGGCTGGAGTGCAGCAGCGCAATCTCAGCTCACCGCAACATCTGCCTCCCAGGTTCAAGCAATTCTCATGTCTCAGCTTCTCTAGTAGCTGGGATTACAGGTGCCTGTCACCACACCCAGCTAATTTTTGTATTTTTAGTAGACACGGGGTTTTGCCATCTTGGCCGGGCTGGTTTCAAACTCCTGGTCTCAAGTGATCCACCCACCTCAGCCTCCCAAAGTGCTGTGATTACAGGCATGAGCCACCACGCCTGGCAACAAGTCTTATAAAGAAAAACCAACAGAGTAAAGGTATGTTCCCATGAGTACCAACATAAGCCCCAGAGAATCACCAATAATGAAATCTCAGCACCTGTATGCTTATTGCCATGTGACAATAGGATTAGGAAGTCTGGATGAATGTGAAGTATGACAGCAAAATACACACACACACACACACACACACACACACACACATACTCCTTAAACTGAAGGAACTGCATGAAAAAGTATTTGGGAAATAAACAGAAAAAGGAAAACACCCATCAAACTTCTTTGAACACGTGTTACTGCAAATCAGGTCCTTCATAATTATAGCAACAGATACTCCTTCCATCAGTTAAGACCAAGGGGGTCTCCTTTGAATCAAGCATTCTTGAGGGGCTGCTATGGGCTTAAATCAAAAATAACCTTTTCACATTCACATAAGGTGGCTTCTTCTAGGCTATCACTTAGATTTAGTAGCAGTATAGGGGAATGGTTAAGAGCTTCAAATGTCAGAGACCCTTGGGGGGCTCCTGACATTTTGGGTCAGCTCTGCCAATTATTAGCTGTATGGCCTTCAGCAGTCACTAAACCTATTTAGGAGGAATATTTTGGTTCCTCATCTGCAAAAATGAGAACAACTCTGTCTCAGTATTGCTGTGAGGCCTATTGCGTGTCTGGAACACAGTTAAGTAATTTCACTACAAAGAAAACACTCGATAGTATCCAATCCATCTTTGACTATTCAAAACACATCACTTTTCAGCCAAAGACCAAAAGCAAATAACTGGAGTAGGAAACAAAATAAACAAAAGCAACAGGTCGAGTGACATACTCCCAAATTTTCTGGGTAATTCAAGATTGACACCTTGACTTCATAAAGAAGTACTGTACTCAGTAAAACAGGTTTCTAGAAAATACTTAGAATTGCTTCAAGAATAAAACTGAGCTAGATGTTAGGAGGTAGGATTTCTAGTCGTGAGTACAGTACTATCTACCTATTTGACTACGGGCAATTTACTAAAGCTTTCTATTCGCACACCTAGTAATTCTGCTGTAATTTCTCTCCATCTATGTGTCTCCTCAGTCCTCCAACCCTTATGGAGGGAATGTCTCTAAGGCAAGATCCATACCTCCAGCATCTTTGCACCTCCACTGCCCAGATCGCAAATAAGTTCCCAACAAATAACGAACTGGTATCGCTTTATCTGTGATTTCTCCTAATCTAGCTCTAATAATTTGTAAAATTCTAGGACAGAAATTCAGACAAAGAGCGAGATCTTTTTTCATTAAATTTTGAATACTGTCAACTTATGGGATCTACCCTTAAATCCACCATCTACGACTCATTTGTCCGTATGCAGAAATGCCGTTTCCTCTGTGTCTCTTTTGTCTACTGTAACAGGCAGATATTGTCTCATTTTGATAAGATGTCCATTCTGTGTTTTAAAAGGTTAGCTTTTCCCTGAAGTCTCTTAGGTTTGATTCATCAATTCACCCAGAGATCTGACAGTGAACAGCAGGCGCTCCAATGTTGACCTCTGCTGTGTAAGAACCAAACCCGACCTTCCCGGCCCCGCCTCCGGCTGTCTCCCGGTACGCAGTATCTCACCTCGTGGTCGCCGCACACCTCGGGCTTCGGATGTACAGTGAACCCAAAGAGGACCTGCTCGTAGCAACCCGCAACCAGCTCCATTGAGCAGAGCACGTGCCTCTTCCGCCAGCCCGGCTCAACCTGGAGGTGACGGAATCGGACGTCAAAAAAAAAAAAAAAAAAAAAAAGCCTGGGTCCTTTCTGCCTCGGCGCCCGAATTATACGTCATGGGTTCAGGGCTGCCTTTAAGTCGCCTGTAAACGTGGAAACACTTTCAGCGCTGGAAGATCACATGGATTTCCCAAGAGGAGAATAAATAAGGATGCCACATAAGGACGTTCTCACTGCAAGAAGAAAAAAATTGGGGGCAAGCAGGCATATCTTAGGAAGGTGAGAGCCAGGTCAGTCTGAGGGGAGCGGGCGGGACATCCTCTGCGAAGACCCTCATTTCCGTAATATTCAGGAGGAGGCGAGGTTGACTTCCGGCCCGGTGGGGCGGGGCTGTGGCTGCGGTTCTTGGCAGGGAGGTGCTGCTCTTGGCGTGCGATTTGATGTGGGCGGTGTACTACGAGGGTAGAAGTTAGGGTTCCTTTTTGTTCAGGAAGCACTGGAACGAGCCTTTCGTAACAGGGCAAGGTGGGGTGGGACTTAGGGTTCGCGGTGACCTGTTCAGCGGCTCAGCGCCCGCGCTGAAACCCCGCGTGCGAGACCTGTCAGCGTTCCGGTCTGCAGCTGCACGCTTTCTCTGCCTGCTTGCTTCACTTGTCTAACTTTGGGGTCATATTGGCCAAGGTTGCAGCACCTCTCGGGGAGGGAGGAGTGAGCCTAGGCAACATAGCTGGAGTCCGTCTCTACAAAAGATTTAAAAAGTAGCCGGGCCTGGCGGCGCGCGCCTCTGACCCCAGCTAAGCTGAAGACGGAGGTGGGAGGATCGCTTGAGCCCAAGAGGTCGAGGCTGCAGTGAGCCGAGATCGCTCCATTGCACTCCAGCCTGGGTGACAAGCCAGACACCGTCTCAAAGAAAAAAAAGTTTAATAAGGCTTAGAGATTGAGGGATGCGTTAGACATTAGAGCTTTCCCACAAACTCCCAATAGAGTAAATCTTGGTTCGTATAGTTCTCATAAACACCATAGTAGATCAGTTGATAAACAAGATGCATAGTCCGTCCTGGTCAAAACTTCAGCCTCCATTTCAAGTGCGATACAATGCTTCAGCTCTTAGACCCTTCTGTTTCCAAGAACTTTTCTTCTCTGGCGTTCTGGATTGTCAGTACGTGTTAATTAATAGAGGCCGATTTCGTTCTTGCGGAGATGATTTCACTTTGGATGCCTTGGTTGTCTTGGCGCAGGAGAAAGGCCTTGTCATCTGCCAGCTTTGTCTACTCTGAATGTAAGCACTTCACAGACACTGGAATGCTGTTGACAAACTAGTCTGCAGTCTAGTGGAAATCCTTGTATTCGTTCACTCTTCTAAAATCATTCTTGGTCAGGTGCAGCGGCTCACGCCTGTAATCCCAGCACTTTGGGAGGCCGAGGCGGGCGGATCACTTGAGGTCAGGGATTCGAGACCAGCCTGGGCAACGTGGTGAAACCCCGCCTCTACTACAAGTAGGAAAATTAGCAGGGCGTGGTGGCGGGCTCCTGAAATCCCAGCTCATCGGGAGCTTGAGGCAGGAGAATCACTTGAACCCGGGAGGTTGAGGTTGCAGTGAGCCGAGATCGAACCACGGCACTGCAGCGTGGGCGACAGTGCGAGACTCTGTCTCAAAAAATAAAGTCATTTTTTCACTTGGTGCTAGTTATCTTGTGTTACAAAAAGTCAAATTATTTTACGATTTAGATTACTTTCTTTGTAATGTGTAACTGTTTCCACCAGAGAACCACTAAGAGGAGTGTGAAATGAGTGTGCTCTGGACATGAAGACAAAAACTGAGTAGGCAGGACATTTATTTGAAGTTTCACATTTTTATCTTTAAAAACATGTCTTTACACATTTTACTCCACAACATATCTGTTCATTTTAATGCAAAAGCATTATACTCTCACCCAAAATTTAAAAAAAAAAAACCTCTACAGCTTTCAAAAACCTCTACAGCTTTGTATATTCTGTTACTTCCGGAATGTCCCTGATACCCTGTCTCCTTACCCCAGGAACATCTCAACAGCTGTTTGAGAAGAATTAATACTTGTTTAATACATTTTAAAAAATAAATTTTAACCATAAAAAGGTGATTACTGCCGGGCGCGGTGGCTCACGCCTGTAATCCCAGCACTTTGGGAGGCCGAGGCGGGTGGATCACGAGGTCAAGAGATCGAGACCATCCTGGTCAACATGGTGAAACCTCGTCTCTACTAAAAATACAAAAAAATTAGCTGGGCATGGTGGCGCGTGCCTGTAGTCCCGGCTACTCGGGAGGCTGAGGCAGGAGAATTGCCTGAACCCAGGAGGCAGAGGTTGCGGTGAGCCGATATCGCGCCATTGCACTCCAGCCTGGGCAACAAGAGCGAAACTCCGTCAAAAAAAAAAAAAAAAAAAAGGTGATTACTATATTCAGAATCTGTTACAAACTGTCAAACTTTTACTTGCTTAACTTTTGTTCCAACCGGGAAGTTTAGAATATGGTTGGTTCTGGAATGGAAACCATGGTGTAAGCACCATGAACTTAACTAAAAGTGGTTTTTCTAAACAAAACATCAAAAAACAAAACAAAAATCCCCAAAACTTAGAAATTAGTGGAACCAATTATAGAGCTCGGAGGACTTAGACAACACCTAGCCCAGCTGTTACTAATCTGGGGTTCGTGGACGAGTTTCAGGGGTTTTCAGTCTCAAGAAATTATATGCAAATATGTGGATGTACATTTTTGGAGAACATTAAGATTTAAGCACAGTTTCAAAAAGATTAGTGTAAGGATAACTCGTTAAGGGTAAAATGCAGTGATTCAGTCTTAGGTTATAAGTGCTGAGATACATCCGGAAAAGTGACTTTTTTAAGAACACACAGCTAAATAACAGTAGGGCCAGTAATGCTGTTTTTTATGGGTCCTCAGCCTTGAACATTCGCTTTAACAGAGGAAGGCAGCAGCATTCCATTTTATGCACGGCTGTGGCAGTAGTTTCTGTCAGGTCTCCATATGCAAGCCTGGAGCCTGAAAGTCTGAAGTCCGGCTTGCCTCGGCTGTCTCCTACCCCTTGCCTGCGTTCCCCATTGTCCTTAATCACCCATCGGGGCTTCCTTGACAAGCCCCTCACCCAACCCTGCCATCTTAACTGTTCTTATGATAATATAAGTACCTCTCACCTAACCCTGCCATTGTAACTGAACTTGTGGTCATGTATACTCCTTGCCCCTAACGTCCACCACTGTAACTGGACTTACTCTACAACACCTCCACCCCCCAAAAATACTACCCAAACCTATAAAACCAACTATCCCACTGCCCTTTGCTAATGCCCTTTTCGGCCTTAGCCCACCTGCACCCAGGTGAATAAACAGCCATGTTGCTCACACAAAGCCTGTTTGGATGGTCTCTTCATTCAAAGTGCGCGTTTTTCAACAGTTTCGGATCTTAAGATTGCGGATTTTCATTGTCTGGAGAAAGACAATAGAGAGTTTTATACCTGTTTAACTGGATTTGAACTGAGCATAACTTCCCGTAAAGCCTTCTTTTCTCTCCAAACACAGGATGTAAAAAGCCATTCAATCTCTTTCTTTTGAAATCTGCAGCTACCAAGAAACAACCAATGTTGAGAGTTCATTAATCAATACTAAGGCACAAGAGGATTATCTTGTTTTGTGGCTTTGCTTTTAAATTATTGATTGAAAAGGTTTTTGCACTTGAGCTACGCTCTGATTTATTCATTCATTCAACAAATATTTATTGAGTGCCTAGCTTTGGTTTGCTAGAGGAAAAGCCAGTTTTTTTTTTTTTCTTGGGTGGTGAGGGTAGTAAAGTGGATATCCTGGGGTAAAAGCAGGATATAGTAAAGAAAAATCAGCCCTGTTAGAAATATCACAAGAGTCTCATATTCCTGCTGAATTCTCCTTTCTCAATGCGACAAGGAGCAACTCTGTTAAACTCAAGGACTATGGAGGTTGCATGTGAATGTATTCACAGAGGTTTTGGTCCGGTTTGTATTTCCCAGCACAACGGGAAGTGGAGATAATGCTATACTTGCTCCGAACCTGCCCAATGTTGGGCCCAAGTAGAATTTGCTTCACCTGCTTCATGCGTGTAATCTAGTTGAAACAGAAGATTTGTATTTGGGGCTTTTAGAGAGCAAAAACAGTGGCTATGAGCCCTTCATGGTCTCTGTCCTCTCCAAGGCCTTAAGTGCCCATTTTTCCCTGGGATCTTGCTCACAACCTTCTGTTCCACAGAAGCAGGAGCAGCCATGAGAAACAGACCTCTGGGACACCGAACTAGAAAAGGAAGGTTTTTATTACAGCCGGGGAGCAAGGCTTTATGTTTTGTCCAAATGGCCAAGCTCCCCTAAAACAGAAGCTCTGCCTTTATGTAGGCTTACACTCTAGATATTACACGTGAAAGGATCTTAGGTTTACAGCCTTAGAAATTACAAGTGAAAGGGTCTTGGGTTTACAGCTTTAGAAATCACATACGAAAGGGTCTTGGGTTTACAGTTTTAGGAATTACATGTGAAAGGTTTCTGGTCTCTGAATGGAGGAGTGGGGTGGGGGTTTGATCTTGTTTAAGTAAAAGCAGTGTCTTCTGGAGAGATTCCCCCATACCAAGCCTGCTATCTTATAGGAAGGTGATTTAGGAGGCGCCAGTCAGCCAGCCAGCCTTTTCTTCTATTGAAATGCAGCGTGGAGATCAAGGGGGAGGTGATCCTAGATGCCTGGGTCTCCTCCCTCACCACAGCTGCTGCCATTTTCCTAGGTGGTTTCAGCATGATTACATTGACCTCTCTCTTCCCCAGTCTCCTTACCACCTCCTCAATGTTCAACTTCTACATTCCTTTCCAACTGCAGCCTCCACACTCACCTGGTCATAGCCATAATTGTGATTTTCTTTGTGTGAAATAAAGTCAGTCCTAAAATGAGATAAGTAAAAAAAAAGTTTTTACAGAAAAAGAATTTTTAACATTTTTATTGGTTGTCTAAGCTATAGTAGTTAGGAATGTATTTAAGCTGACATAACAATAGTGGTTTAAACAAGACATTTATTAAGTAAAATAAACCAGTGGTAGGCCAGTCTAGTGCTAGCGGAAAGAGTCCTTAGTCATTAGTGACCCAGACTCATTCTGCCTTGGATCACCGTATTATTCTGTGTGACTTCTTCCCTCATGTCACCTCATAGCCAAGATAGCTGCAGAGTTATTCTGACTCCACCTGTCATGTTTGTAATCCCAGCACCAGACCTGGGGAGACAGTACAGGATAAAAAGGCCCCCCCTTCCAGGTTAGCAAATACCCTTTTCCCACACAGCTTTCCCCAATCCCCTTCTAATACTTCTATTTAGATCTTCTTAGCCAGATTGGCCACCTGGCTCCATCTTCCTTCAAGGGAGAAGCTAGGAAATGTAGTCTTTTAGCTTGAGCCTATTGCTGGCCCAAGTGAAATCAGAATTGTTATAATGGAAGAAAATAAATCGATATTGGGTGGCACCTAACAATGTCTGCCACAGCTGCTAATCAATAAAACCTCCCTTATGGCCGGGCGCGGTGGCTCAAGCCTGTAATCCCAGCACTTTGGGAGGCCGAGGCGGGTGGATCACGAGGTCAAGAGATCGAGACCATCCTGGTCAACATGGTGAAACCTTGTCTCTACTGAAAATACAAAAAATTAGCCGGGCATGGTGGTGCGTGCCTGTAATCCCAGCTACTCAGGAGGCTGAGGCAGGAGAATTGCCTGAACCCAGGAGGCAGAGGTTGCGGTGAGCCGAGATCGCGCCATTGCACTCTCGCCTGGGTAACATGAGTGAAACTCCGTCTCAAAATAAAATAAAATAAAATCTCCCTTGAAGACATGGAGAGATTCATTCCGGATAAACTCCACTATATCACCAATGCCAGTTGCCTTGCCTCAGCCCTCAGCATCTGTGGGTTCTACATCCCTGGATTCAACCAATCGTGGATTGAAAATATTTGGGAGGCTGGGCACGGTGGCTCACATCTGTAATCCCAGCACTTTGGGAGGCCAAGGTGATCATGTCACCTCAGATCAGAAGTTTGAGGCCAGCCTGGCCAACATGGTGAAACCCCATCTCAACTAAAAAGCCAGGGGTGGCAGTTGCCTGTAATCCCAGCTACTAGGGAGGCTGAGGCAGGAGGATCATTTGTACCTGGAGGGCAGAGGTTGCAGTGAGACGAGATCATGCCACTGCACTGCAGCCTGGGCAACATGGTGAAATCCCATGTCTACTAAAAATACAAAAATCAGCCAGGTGTGGTGGTGGGTGACTGTAATTACAGCTACTGGGAAGGCTGAGGCAGGATAATCACTTGAACCTGGGAGGCAGAGGTTGCAGTGAGCCAAGATCACACCACTGTGCTCCAGCCTGGGTGACAGAGGGAGGCTCCATCTTAAAAACAAAAACTCCAAAAAGTAAAACTTAAACTTGCCGCATGCCGGATACTACTGTTGAACCCACACGAAGTAATGTATAGCCATTGTATGAAGTATGGTAAGTAATCTAGACAGAATTTAAGGTTTATGGGAGGATGTGTGTAGGTTCTTTGCAAATACTACACCATTTTATACTTGGGCATTGAAGGATTTTGGTATCTGAGGGGGATCCTGTAAACAGTCTCCCATGGATACTAAGGAATGACTGTAGTAATGGCTCAATAAATAACTGGTGAATGACTGAATGATCAGAATGTTTTGAATTCATCATGTCTGCTATTTTTCACATTACAGGCCAATAGAAAATGCATTAAGCACTTGGTTATCAGCTAGCTGCAGGGAAATGGCCACACCCTAAGCGCTGCATATGGACCCAAAAGTTATCTTGAATTTTGACACTGTGTATCCTTGCTGCTTAAAGTGGCAGGAGCTAGCTATAAAGGCAGAATTTGAGGCTCCACTCCAGATCTGTCAAGTTAAAGAATCTACTTTTTTTTTTTTTTTTTAATATGGAGTCTCACCTTGTTACCAGACTGGAGTGCAGTGGCGTGATCTCGGCTCACTGCAACCTCCGTGCCCTGGGTTCAAGCTGTTCTCCTGCCTCAGCCTCCTGAGTAGTCGAGACTACAAGTGTGTGCCACCATGCCTGGCTAATTTTTGTATTATTATTGTTTTTTAGTACAGATGGGGTTTCACCATGTTAACCAGGATAGTCTTGATCTCCTCACTTCATGATCTGTCCGCCTCAGCCTCCCAAAGTGTTGGGATTGCAGGTGTGAGCCACTGTGCCAGCCTAGAGAACCTACATTTTAAACAAGTCTAGGTTATTTGTATGCACATTAAATTTTGGGAAGCTTTATCATGCTTTTTAAAAAATTACCAGAGAAATATTTCTTTAAAATGGTATCCTGTACTCTCATTAATGTAGGCTGTAAGAGAGAGAAAAGGAAGAGAGACAGGAGGGAAGGGGACAAAGGAAGGCTTTCTTCCCTGCCTCTTAATTTTGCAGCGAGTTTGGATTATGCTTTCAACCTGCATGGGATTTAAAAAAAAAAAGCACTAGCTAGTTCCAATAGTTATTCTCAGCTGATAACTGAGGAGAACAATATATTTGTCTTAAGGTTTTGTTATTAAAGATTCCCCTCTTACTTGTTATGATAAGGGGTACAGTGGAGACTGTCTTTCATTGTTGACTGACACATCTTCCCCTTCTGTCCCTCCATGGGGTTCTGCTGGCTCCCCCAAGCCTGACAGTTGGGAGAGAGGGCCGGCAGATGGAAGCCAGAGGAACAGGTGGCAGAATTTCCCCCAGGTGCCTCAGTGCACCCCTTCCCCCCACATCTTTGCCCTGTTGTTAGGAATGTCAAGCAATTAATTGCCTAGCAGGAATTGCCACTAAATGTAATTATCTCAGAGGTAGTTGCGAGACTTGTCAGGGTTGAGAGGTTTTAGCCCACAGGCCGGAATTTTTGACTCGGGAATAAAAACTGGATTCTGCTCTCTTCTTGTAACGTTTCTGGATAAATGGCAGAACAGGAGAGTTTTGCAGGTTTTGGCATAGCTCAACAAAGTAACTATTACTGCTTCTGGCAAAGGTGAGCAGTTTTCTCCTTTGAATGAAAAAGAAAGCTGTTACTGTTCTATTTGCTACATAATTGTTGGTAACTTACAAACAATGGCTTTGAACATAGGTGTTCAACTTACTGCAAACTTCCTGGAAAGAAGTCTGGGGGTTTGTGGATGATTCTGTGTTGGTTGGTGACGGTTGTCATTGCTGTGGTCTCCCCTCTGCTATTAGAGTGAAGCAGGAGTTCCAGCCCATCCAGGGTTACCACTGTGGCAACTGGTACGTGCAGCAGCCCAGCTCTTACCTTCTTTCTGGCTACAGCTACTGCTGTGCGGTGCATGGAAATGGACAGGACTGTTTTTCTGCGCGTGAGACCCCTCAACATACAGCTGGAACTTTGGTTATGCCTAAGGTATCCCTTGCTGGAATGAATCTTGTGTCATTCATGGGCCCGATAATAGTAAACATCACTTTCCTGTCTTCACACATTATTATCCTCTGATCCAAATTCCCACAGCCACGGCTTTTGCTACCTGTTTTAAAACTAGAGAGTAAAGCTGATAGCCTAAGAAAAACGTTTGTACAGCTTTATTGAGGTGTATACTTGATACACAGGAAGTCTCCTGTACATGTTTAATGTTTATGATTTGCTGAGTTTGGACATGTATAACCCATAAGTTTTCACTTGAAGGTAGTTTTGGGGTTTATTTTATAGCAGTTAGATATAAACACACTTTAAAAAGATGTTGTAAATACTTTGAATTACTGAATTGACATATTTCTCAAATCACACGAAGATGTATTGAAGTAAGGGAAAAGCTCCCCCCACACCTCTTCTTCCCTACTCCCTTCCCACTTAGAAGAAAGTACTGTTGGAGTGGATGTCTTCTAGATCTTTCCCCTGTACTCTTGCTAAATCAGCGTGGTTTGTCTTTCTGTTTTGGTGGTTAGGGTATGATTTAGGCAAGAGTGAACTATGTAGTACATACTGTTTTGCTCTTTGCTTGCTTCTGCATAAGGAGACCTTTCTTTAAAAATTGCCCATTTATGGTCTGTGCAAGATGGCTCACACATGTAGTCCCAGCTACTTGGGAGACTGAGGCGGAATGATCACTTGAGCCCAGGAGTTTGAGGCTGCAGTAAGCCATGATTGTGCCACTGTACTCCAGCCTGAGCAACAGAGTGAGCTCATTTAGATACATTGTGATTTTTAGCTCATCCCTTATCTGACATTTTAAATATTTTTTGGGCTTTAACAAACTTACTTATCTTCAAGCATTTGTCTGAGTGTTGATATTTTTCCAAGAATTTATTTCTGGATGTGGAAGGGCTGGATTAAGGGATATATCATAAAAATGTTTAAATAGCAAATTACTTAAAGTCTGTAAGAATTTGTACTTTTCATTATTGTGGTGGGTGTTCTTGCTACTCGACATTCCTCTCTGTATATGATTGGGCAATGTGATAGGCCAGGGAGGATTTGTCTATTATTGAGGGCAAATATCTCTTGAAGTGTTTATCGGTATCTGTGTTCTGTGACTTTGATACCATCCTTCTAGTTTTTCTGTTGAGTTGTGTCCCTCTTGCTTGACTGCATAAGATATTCACAGGTTACAGAAATTAACACTTTTCACTCTAAATGCTACGGATGTCCCCCACCCTAGCTTTTCTCTTAATCTGCATAGTGACACCGTTGTTTGATGATCTTTGCCTTAAAACCAAAGTTGAATTTCACATCTAGACCCTTGGTTTTTAAAACTTACATTTGCTTTATATTATGATATTTTACTGCCCAAACTTTCGTTTTCATTTTTTCTCAGGTCTGTTTTAGGTGTGCCTCTTGTATAAAATATGTTAGATTTCTTGTCATTTTTTCCCCCTTTTGGCCCGATTTAGGTTTTTCCCTTTTAACAGACGTTTGATATTGAAGCACTTTAAAAAAACATATTTCACCACATTGCGTGAGGTTTTAGCACTCTTTTTTTTTTTTCTTTCACCTCTTCCCTTTTTGTTCTTTTTTGGGAGATGGTCTGTTTTCGGTGGTCACCCTTATATCTTTAAATGGAGAAGTATAAGAAAGAGTATAGACTAGCATTTAAAAAAAAAAAAAAAAAAAAAAAAAAGAATGAATGTAATACCAACTTCAGAAGTGAAAGTATTTGTTGATTTTTTCATCACTCATGAGAAAATTAAGAAATGAACACCCTTTTTTTCTCACCTGGCTACGCCTTCTCTCCATTCCTCTGTCCATTTTTGTTGGCACATCCTGGGATTTTTATCTCATCCTCTAGCCAAATTATTACTATAACATGCATGTTTTCATACAAGAATTATATAAACCTATTTTGTGGTTGTGGTGACCCCACTGTGCCTTCTGCCTGCCATCCTGCTGGGTGTTACCTATTGGGAAGCTGCTGAGCAAAACTAAAGATGGGAAGGCTCTGTGGCAGCACTCTTTCACTCACCCATCCCCGTTTTGTTCTTCTCTAATAAAGTGTGTCCTTGCTGAGATGTCCTCGCTTTATTCCCTGCTTCCCCCAATGTGCTGTGCCTCTGTCCATAACCTTTATCTCCCCCACGTTAACGGGTTACCCCTCTGCAGCCCACTCCTTTACATTTTGGCATTGTGGAGGTGGGTGTCTCCAACATGATTCTCAGGTCTTTGCGACCCATCCCAGACTATCCCTAGCTGAGGAAAGACTTTTGCAAACGTGCTTGTCTTTAAAGGCAGTCAGCTGCATGCACAGCGCCAGTGGCCCTCAGACCAGAAAGAATGCTCTGTCTCCAAATAGCTGCTGCTTCCCTCACCCTGGTTATTTAGCATCCACATTTGCCAGAACGCATATTGAAAGGAGAAAATGTAAGGTTACTTGGTCTTGTATTATGGGAAAGGACTTGTGGAAGCATGGATTCTGAGTGTCTTAGCCATTTCTTTCTTTACCTTTTATAGAATTCATTTTTAGAGATGATGTCTTGCTCTTTTGCTCAGGCTGGAATGCAGTGGTACTATCAGAACTCACTGTAGCCTTATCTCCTGGGTCTCCTGCCCCAGCCTTCCAAGTAGCTGAGACTATGGGCTGCATACCACCGTGGCTGGTGTCTTTGCCATATCTAAATACAAAAAAGACACAGATTGTCTTTTGAAATTTATGGTAACCTATTTTCCAAACCTGCACATATTTCAGAGTGAAGGGGAGACATACTTTCAGATAGACTGAAAAGAAAAGATAGTGGATCTTTGACTGTCAGTATCTTCTCATTCTTATTAACAAGGGAAGCTTAATTAAGTGCCAGGAACTAGATCAGCCCTTCCTTGGTAGAGTGATTCCTTGGAATAGCTGGCCGTACTTAAAAAGACAGGTTCCCAGCAAGTCTCTATAGCGGAATCACAAAAATGTATGCTGCCCCAGTAGATCCAACAGAGTCTGGGTTAACACACCAAGATTTACTTTGGGGGTGCCTCTGCAGTTCACTTCCCTCATTATGTAAGAATACGATTGGTTTGCTTTGCTGTAGCCTCTCATTTTCTTGAGCACCTAACATCCTGGTTCTTAGCTGAGCCAAGGGTTTTGGGGATATGATTAGAAGGCCATGAGGAAAATGTGCTCATGGAGACTTTATAGATTGTATTCTAGAAGGAGGAGCAGAATTCCAGGTAGAGTCAGGCATGTGGTACAGGAAATAAGGAGCCTGATACCAGGGACCCTGGTGTCCGCTTCCTAGCTCAGGCTCTAGGATCCTAGTTAGGTCTCAGAAAATCCAAAGGCCAGAGGCCCTTGTTAGGCTTGCTGCTCTTTTGTAACAATTCTTCTGTGACTCAGTTTACCTCTTTCATAATTGTACTATGTCACCTAAAGATTCTTTCCATCAAATTCAAAATTCGATTTTAAGGGATTAATTTTCAAAATTATTTTTATTTTAGATAGTATTTTTAGGAGCTAGAGTTTTTTCCCTATAAAGTATGTATTGATATTAAACCTTTACATAAAATTATTTTCTCATGAGATCCTTTTTTGTTGCAGGAAACCACAGGTCTAGCTGAAAACCAAGATGAAGACCCACTAGAAGGTAACATAAACCTTGTGCTCAAGTGGTTGGAAACAAAACCCCATTTCCTGGTTTCTCATTCACTCCACTTGCTGTAAACTGGGAGGCTCTACTGGAAAATTCCAGTGTAGGTTGCCTAAGCCATATTTTTCAGTAATTTCTCCTGTTTTTGGAAACTGGTTCTATGGGAACAACTTTAGCTGAACTACTTCTTCGGGCCCTTCCCAAGGACTGGGAAAGGGGGACATTCCCAAACAGTAAGAAGGCAATACATTGCTTTTAAGCGCCACTTCCTCCGTAAGTGTAGACTTTGAGGTCAATTATGCTTTAATTCTGATTTTCAAGGGAGAAGAGCACTGAGGCGATTGCTGTGGCCTCAGGGTTGTTGGTTCCTGGGGTACCTGTCAGGACAGCACTGTAGTATCAGGCTGGTGGTGCTTCCTGTAGTTCTGAATTTGTTCTGAAAAGAACGAAGTTCGTCTGCCCGAGGACAAACACTCTGAATCTGTCTTATTTGAGGAAGAGAAGAAAATGTTTTGCTTCTTTTAAGTAATAAGAAAGAAAAATAGAGGAGAAATTCGGAGAACACTATTGTCTTTTTCTTACCACATGCCTGTCTTATCAACATGTTCATCATGTCTCTCTCTTGATCAAACCCCTTTCCCTACCAGACAAACCCACCCACTGTCTTTGTGCCTTGATCAAAGAAGGGAGCATGTTGTTATTTGTCTTTGTAGCCCCTGTGACTAATTCAGAGTTCACATGTTGGTAGGTGCTCAGTGTTTAAATTAAATCAAATTGATGTTGAAATCTTTAGATACTGTTGAGCAGTTCTAGTTTTTAGTGCTTTGATTTGAGCATGACTAAAGGGTGTTTTATTTCAGCTTTCCGGGATGTCTTAAACCTTTCTTAAAGGTTAAGTGTGAATCTCTCTTCCTGTCTTTATCAGTTACACAATTTATTAAACTTGACGCAGGATTTCTTGCTCCTTAGTTCAGCTAAATCTCTAAGTTCTTGTCTTATGACCGGGAAAAATTAGGCATGCAGACACACTGAAGGGTGAGGAGGAGGGAATTTATGAAGTGAAAGGAAAGCTCTCAACAAAAAGAGGGATCCTGAATGCAGGTTTCTACCTCACAAATTGAATACCAGGCCACTACACACGAGTTGAAAAGGCCAGGCTCCTCCCCTGCATAAGGTGTGAATTCCTGGTGGTTCCACCCCATTCTTCCAGTGTGCATGTGGGCCCATAGTCTGAGCCACTCCACATTGATTTATTTCCCTTACCGTGCATGTGTTAAGGGATGGAATTTTTCACCATGGGCATGTTTAGGCAAGCCCCCTGTGCACAATGACTTGGGCAGTTTGGAGGTTCTCCTTGGACCCTTCCCTATTTGCCTAGGCATTTGGGTGTTTTCTGCCTCTATCAGAATAATGGAGGTAAAAGTTTGCTTTTTGGATACAAACTGCCAGGGAGTTCAGATCCACCTACTAGCTCTGTAGGTCTAGACAAATTAATCTCTAGTGTGTCTGCTTCACTTTCTGTAAAGTGGGGACATTGATACCTATCTCATAGGAAGCATGGGCATGCTAGGTCTAAAGTACTTTTAGGTGGCTTAGCAGCTTCTGCCATATGATAACCACTCAAGTGTTGGCTGGTCATAAATCTGGCACAGTACACTGGTCAGTATAAATGTAATGCAGTTGCACCTCGGGGAACTAAAAGAACAAGAACAAAGTAAACCCAAAGTTAGTAAAAGAAAAGAAATAATAAAGATTATAGCAAAAATAAATAGAAGCTGGAAAAACAATACAAAAGATCAACAAAATGAAGGGTTGGTTTCTTTAAAAGATAGTCAACAAACCTTTAGATTAAGGAAAAAAACTCAATCAGATGAAAAAGAACACATTACAACTGATACCACAGAAATACAAAGGAACATAAAAGACAGTTATAAACAATTATACGTCAGTAAATTGGATAGCATAGAAGAAATCGGTAAATTCCTGGACACATACAATCTACCACCTACCAAGATTAAATTATGAAGAAATAGAAAATCTGAACAGACCAATAATAAGGAATTGAACCAGTAATAAAAAGTCTCCCATCAGGCCAGACCTGGTGGATAATGCCTATAATCCCAGCACTTTGGAAGGCTAAGTTGGGAGGATCATTTGAGCCCAGGGAGCTTGAGAGCAGCCTTGGCAATATAGCAAGACCTTGTCTCTACAAAAAATGTAAAAATTAGCTGGATGTTGTAGCATGTGCCTGTAGTCCCATATATTTGAGAGCCTGACGTAGGAGGATTGCTTGCGCCCAGGAAAAAAAAACATAATTTCTTTTTTTTTCTTTTTTTTTTTTGTAGACAGGGTCTTTCTTTGACACCCAGGTTGGAGTGCAGTGGTGTGATCTGGGGTCACTGCAACCCCTATCTCAAGGCTCAAGCAATCCTCCCATCTCAGCCTCCCAAATAGCTGGGACCAAGCTGAGAGAAAGATATATTGTACAGCATGGTGACTATAATTAATGAAGAAATATTATATTGAAAAATACAGGCTAGTTCGAAGGTAGCGAGTTATCGCAACTGGTTGTTGAGTCAGTTGTGGATTGAATTTTTTGTTCTCTTTCCCTGCTTCTTACTGCTGCGTTTGACTTGTCTTGAAGGAAAAAGGAAAAATAAAGAAAAATACATAGAGGATATTCAGTGTTTCCACCACAAAAATGAAAAATAACTGTGAGGTAGTACATTTGATGATTCAACAATGAACATATACTTGAAATGTTATGTTTAAAAAAAAAAAAAAAAACGAAAAAATGTTGTACATGATAAATACATACAGTTTTGTCTGCCAGTTTGAAACATTTAGAAATTAAAGAATAGATAATGTGAAACACAAAGCCATTTATGTAGTTAGTTTAAAATTTTTCAGTAGCCAAATTAAAGAACCAACTCAGGAGACCGGTGAAATTAATAATGTTTCTTACTTAACCTAATATCTGTGATGAACTGAATTTGTGTTCTGTTCCCTTGCCAAATTCATACGTTGAAACCCTCACTCCCAATGTGATAGTTTTAGGAGGTGGGTCTTTAGAGAGGTGATTAGGATTAGGTGAGGTCATCAGGGTAGAGTCCTCATGAATGGAATTGGTAACTTCACAAGAGTCACGAGGGAGCTTGATTCCTCTCTCTGCCCTCTGCCATGTGAAGGTATGACTTCTGGGCAGTGTGCAGCCCAGAAGAGGGTCCTCACCAGAACCCAACCATGCTGACATCTTTTTTTTTTTTTTT